AAAGTGATGATAAGAAGGTACCCAAGAAGGAGACTGAAGCGCAGAGAGAACGCCGCGAGAAGAAAGAGCGTGAGGAAAAGCTTCGTGAGGAGGAGAAAGCCCAGAAACAAGAGTTGAGTAAAGCCGTTTCAAAAGCCAAACAGGCTCGATCTGAGAATCCACTTGCACATGTGCACAGGTGCATGTGTATGTGCAATGCAATAGCATGCATGCATCTAGTATGTGGGATGTAGCTAGAATCAATGCATGTGCCATTGTGCAATCGTATTGACACTGATTGACACGTACTCCTGTAAGTTAACGATAACAATGCTGCCATATTGAATGATTCCTTGATGTTTCAAACAATGCGCTATTGTGTCAGGCGGTGTCAAAACTCAACACTGCAATCGGGAAAGCCTCAACATTGAAGGGCAAGGCTGACAGCATGTCTTGTCCTCAGCGCATTTAAGCGATTGTCTCAGTGAACTTCTGGAACAGTGGCATAACTGCCCTAGAAAACAAAACGCTATAGCATCTCGATCTCAGTGATTAGGGATTCAAATTCCATTTCAAACCTTTCAGAAGATTCTCTTACATCTTTAGTTGTTATTTGACTCCCAGGGTGTGTGTTTAATCGTGAATTTGATGCGCGTGGAAGGTCAAAGTCTTTGAAGAAGATCTTCCTCGAGGAGTTGAACCCCCATGTTGCAGCTATGCAAAAGATGAGGGATTCCGTGCAGAAGCGTGTGGACTCGGCCAAGGCCATTTGTTTGCACACGCCATTGTACCTGTCAGCGCCCAAACTTAACAAAGACTCTCTGGCTATGTTTGGCAAAGTCATGATTCATAGAAAGTTGCAAACACAGATCTGCCCTGGAAGTCTTTCGAACAATTTATATTATATTGTAAATTCATTTCCCAAAAGTCTTCGACTTCTAGGGTCTCAAATCTCACACAGTGCAGTGTTGCCAGCTCTGAAGGTTGGTGATGAGGAGAAGCTCAAGAACAACACTGAGACGGACAATGTGATTAGTGCCTTCACCTCCTTTTTGAGGGACAACAACATGAAGTAGTGATTATGGATCTTGTCATTCCACTCTGAATCTTGTTCCTGGTGGGACCCTGGGTTTTAGCAACATGTCCAGGACATTTTGCTTTAGGGGGCCTAGGGATCCAGGAGTGCTTGGGGGCATGTTCAAACCCAAGAACTTGCCAAGAAGTGGTCTATAGAACTTCGCCATTGACTTAGCTATATAGTTTCCAGTTGCTCTCCAGGCTTTGGCCCCCGACTTCCGACCGAAGCATTCTTGCCCACCTGTGGCAAGTCAGAGTAGCGATTGGCCTAATGGTCCTGGGGGTTGAGTGAAAAGATGCATGCATTCCCAAGAACTTCAGTGTGATTTGGTGTCTTCAAGATTGAACTGGGTGGTAACTTTCTGGCATTGATGCATTTTAGTCTGTGAGTAAATGGTACTTGCAGTACATATGTGGGCTATATGTACTTCAAGTTCCACATTAAACTGATACCATCTGGATCTCCTACCAATTGATTTGGCCAGGCGATCCCAATTGTTCATACGTGCTGCAAGAACAAATCGACTGCGTCAGCAGAGGGGTGATTTGGCCTAAACATATTTGTTTATGTGTGCACAGTCGACTTGTCCTAAACCAACGCTGGACCATCCCCCCTTGCTGCCTCAGGTATCTTCGACTCATCAAGCGATGAAGCAAATGCGAGCTCACTTCAAAGAACCTCAGATGAATTGAACTGCGGGCTGAGGTGGCATGGTGTTGATGTTTTGTTTTATCCAAGGAGTCCGGCGGAAATGTGCATGCTAATAGTGCCATGCTGGGTTCCAAGAGTGGCTGGAACGATTCTCGGGATTTTTGGAATTTCACAAACATTGGAGCCGCCCCTTGACTTTTATTCGATTGTTTTTCTTTTATAGATTTTATGTGGTGCTATTTTCTTGGGTGGGGGGTTTATCTTGACCAAGTATATTTGTGACATGTGAGGAAATCCACTGGGTGCAGGTTCCAATCAAAGACCAAAAAAATCCTGGAAGGGTTACCTTTGAATCTCAACCCATGCTTTGGCCACACGAGATATTTGACTACCTCTTCAACGATCTGGGATTCACCGTCTCGCTGGAAGAACGGAAATCATATTGGGAAGAGGCCAAATCGTCTGGGGAGCCGTGGGCTGTTCGCAACCCTGCTTCGGTGGCGCACCATCCTTGTGGCATCTATGGGGACAGTGCCAGGTTGCCCACTTCGTATACCCAGGAAAAGGTGACTGGAATTTTCCTGAACCTGGTCTTGTTTCGACCAAGATCGATTAGGTGCAGTCGTTTTTTATTGTGGTCATGCGACACAAAAAAGCTGTTCCGCAACAGAACGACGAACCAAATCCTCCGGTACATCGTTTGGAGCTTCCAATTCGCATTCATTGGAAAGCACCCAACGCATACAATGGGAGGACGCCCCTTGGACACTCCAAAGGCTGGCACACCTTTGACTCCTGCCAACGATTGCTTTTGCATCACAGAGAACAGAGGTGACTGGGAATGGCACCTGTTGCTGTGGCGATTCAATGCATCGTGGAAGGGTAACGAGATTTGTTACCGGTGCCCCGCAGTTTGCACAGGACCTGTAGGAATGTGCTACTACACCACAAATGAAGATGCAGATTGGCTGCATCAGGAGTTTGGGACTTCCCAGTTTTTAGCAAGGAGACTGAAGAGTCGCAACTTGTGTAACTCTGGCCTGACCCAACACTTATTTTAATTTTATGGTTTTGGGGGGTGGGCCTGTGGTGCAGAATTCAAGACATATGTCATATCATATTACTATTCCCGCGTCAAGGCCCTATGATCCTATTGGATGGATGGCACCCATCCATGATAAAGATATGCTCTATGCATACCCTGCAGCTGGGACTGCTTTTTGCTGCGAATGGTGGGGCCTTGTACTGTGGCTATGTTTATTGTATTGTTTCTCTTTTCTTGTTTTTTGTTTTTTTACCCCTTTTGACAACCGGTCAAGATCTACCCATTGGCCAAGGCACCCCATCGACTGACCAGGAAGGTGTAGGTCTTCCATAGCCATGGCTGGTGCCTTGAAAAATAGTACTATATTCAGGGCCATGTAAAATGCATTTAGGGGGATACCTTAAGGAATGTGCATTTTTCAAGGCACCAGTCTTTCCTGCACGGAAGGATCATTTTGGCAGAAGAACTTTGCCACTTTGGCGCTCATGGAGGAATCTTCCAGCAACAACTAGACGCAGCCTATACTAGTTTCAGAACATTTTGCGTGACAGCTGGTATCAGGCACAGCCAGCCTCCTTTCACAGCCAGATTGGTTTCTTGGCATATTGCTTTAGCTAGTCTTGAAATAGATAAAGAACTAGAAAATATAACTATAAAGACTATCAACCCTGCTGTTAAAATCAAAAAGGTCATTTGTCATCTCCAAGGTTAAAAAGAAGGATGGCCACCTGCTGATGACCTGCAAGGCTCACAACGGGCGGGTGGTCATGGAATGGCTTGCTGAGGAACTACGCGTAGCTGTGAGCTCTGGCCTCTACCCAAACCACTCCCGGCTAGAGCTAGCCTCTGTTTGCCTGAGCCTTGCAGGCATTTTGGACTGACTAGTCTTCCCCAGAATAGTGTCTGCCTGGTCCTCTCTAGTCTGTCCGCCCGGTCCTCTCTAATCAAACCTGGTTGTGCAGCAAAGGACATCCATTGCTCGGGTGCAGTTTCTTAGCGAAAGCAGTGGGCGGCGATTGTGCCTTGCTCCACATTGAGTTATGTTTCTGTGTTTCCATGCGTGTGCGTGTGGATGAATGTGCAATGCACGCATGAGAGCCCATGGGTGCACTCAACCTTCATATGCCATGCCTCCTTCCCAGGACTTCGGCAGTGGCCCAGGAGATTTGGAGGGAAGGGATGCAATTCCTAGATTCCTACAAATGTCTCCAGATCCTTTCAGTGAGGCACGATATGTGGAAAATGCATGTTGTAAGGTTTGCTTGTTCTGTGCCTGAATCATGAACAAGCTTGTTCCCATGGCAGTGCTTGTTGAACTGAACCAGGGAATCCAGACAAACTTTTCTGATCCGGCCGAAGGTGCACGAAACTTGCATGCAATTTAGTGCATGTGGCAAACACACATGTAAGTCCAACAGCCTTGAATAAATTTAACCACCAATCAAGATTCAAGACAAATAAAGAATCCACCATGTATCTCCTCTTAGCTGAGATGCTGGCGCACTTGCTTTGGGATATGCTGCTCACTCGTAACGTGGATGCATTACAATTGCGCAAATCTGATCATGCTTATTTTGCAAGATTGTATTGGATGGTGTGCTAGCTGTACGGGATACAGTTACTAAGGTGCCAACTATCGCTTTTGGCATTGTTTTACTGATGAGGATGCCATGGGTTGGCTCAAACGCCACTTGGCTGAAGGCAATTGGAACCCAGGGGCTTGGACCATGGATGTGCGTTGAACATGTTCTTGGGTCCACTGTTACAGTGCCTTGTTGATCCGCTTTCAGTTGCAAATTCTTTCCAGCCAGCAAAGGAGTTGGAGCAAGCACTCACTTGAAGAACCGGCCCCGGTATATATTGCGTATTGCTCGTCTTCGGATGAAGAGTATGAAACATCGGATCAAGTGGTAACCTGGCTGAGTTTCAGATCTGGGTTGCCTATGTTGGAGTTTGTTGAAACCCTGATGGTATTTTGATCCATCTTAGGCTCTTGAGGTCTTCACAGAGACGCAGCTGAGCAAGTGTCGCACATGTATGGAAGAAAAGAAACAGCTGTGCAGCATTGGTGGAGATGCTATCCATGAAAAGGTTATGTTCTATAATGTCTGTTGTAACAACGACCATTCTAAAAAAGGCTGTTGGACTTGTAGGGTATATATATAATATTAACATAAATGTTACCAATATATAGGCTCTCCGCTCCCCGCGGTGTTGGGGGGGTTGGTTTGCTCTCCGCGATCCGAGGTCTACTTCAACAAGCCCACGGATTTGCTCATGTGGAAGCAGGTCAACCGCCAGCGTCGCGAAGCCACGACACTGGCCCTGAAGGATCGCATGCGCGTTTAGATCGATCGTCCGGATCGCATTGGTCAACCAGGTAACCATGCGTTCAGAGAGGTTTTTCAATGGGTTCTGTTGGGTGTGTTTTAAAATGTGTTTTGGGCATTTTGGCAGCACTTTTGGGTCTTGTGGCCTTGTGGTCCTCATTCCTGTCTTGCCTATTCCCAGTATTTTGAAGCCATGCTGGCGTGAAAGCATTGTGCAGTTGGCCTTTGGTCATGTGTGTTTTTAAGACATCGCACGCTTCTGCAGATTAACATGGACCCTGAAAACCACTGGGTTGTAGAGGAAAGTCTCGTTCCACAAGTCCTTTTTCAGGGTCAATCTTAGTCTGCAGGAGGGTACTAGAAGACTCCAACTAATAACTAATCATGACGGAAGAATCTTCAGAAATCTAGATAGTTATATATAATTATATTAGATATATAGATATAGTCTCCAGTCAGATTCACTGATGTTTGCTAGCTGTGCATGAAAGTCGCAGATCTACAAAAGAGATGTGCGATTTCAATGGTTCAATGCAGCGCCCCACGCGAGCTTCGCGCCCCGGGTTGACCTGGGACTGGCCTCTAAGGGTTTGGTGATACACGTTGGAAGGGATTATAGTCTTGACTATAGTCAAGCTGTCTGTCTATGTGTGTATGATTTGATCATATTTGATTTTTTTTTCTAAGAACTGCCTCCAGCAAGATCAAAAAAAAGAAGAACCTGCCATTCCAACTGGGTCATTTTGCGGACCTGGAAGAATGAACAGCCAATGGTGTGCTGCTAAACACAGTCCAAGAGAGGGAGACCCAGGTGGGAGAGGCGGAATAGAATTGCCGTCCTCTTGGTCCAAGGAGACAAGCCAGGGACAAGCTCTTCAGACAGCAGAGTGGCAAAGTGGACAAGGAACCTGGGAACTACAAGACCGATTTGATTCCGATCGAGAGACTTGATGCAAAGGTTTTGCGGCGGTGCCGGAGAGGTCCTTGGCAGGGATGAAAGCAGCCACAAGAAGGATCACATTGATCAGTGATCTTGTTTTTGGATCACATGGAAGTTGCAGATGCATGTCAGATGGAAGTTGCAGTCCTGACATTGCACCCTTGGACTTCCCCTCCAGGCGGCTGCAAATCATCAGATATCATCAGTGGTACTGAAAAAGTGTAGACTCTTCGTGAATCGACCCCCTATCCCCGCCACATGAGCTTCTACAAGCATCCAAAATGGTTCAAAATGGATCAAAATGGGTAGGATGATGGTAGGATTGGTTTAAGGGGTTATGAATCAACCATCTACCTGAAGGCTGTTTCGTTGTTCTCAGACACGTGTGGGCCCGCCCCGTCCCGCCCCGTCCCCGCCGTCAGACCCCAACGCTTCGGTGACTGACCGACCGCAAAGGGAGCTACCTCACAGACCTGGGCGCTGAAAGGAATGAAGAGGTAGCTCCCATGGAAGAACAGGTAGGAGCTACCTGAACAGGATGTGACATGGAAGAATCTACCTAATTAGCGCATCCAATGTGGATGGAAGATGATTGAAGAAGCTAGCTCATCCACGACCCACTGAACAGCAAGTTACTTTAATATTTATAGCATCCTGGAGCGGCTCCAGTGGAGCCTATTGCAGTATCTCCCTACTAAGTCCAAGGAGGATATTTTAGGCACCCCCGAAGTCAAGGACATTTCTCTTCGGGCCATCTTTGAAGACCATTCAAGAATGCTTGGACTCCCAGGGTATGGTTTTCCAAGTTATGTCCTGCACGATCATTTATCCAACAATTGCATCAACTTGCTCACGCCCACGACCTGTTTGTTCTTATTACAGGTTCCAAACCCAGACACTCCATGTATTCCATATTTGCTTACATTGACCCCTGAAACCACCTCAATGTAGGTATATATATATATAGATGTGTATAGTATATATATATACACATTATATATATATATATATATCTGAGCAAACTATCTAAGGCGAGCTCACCTGACAAGATACGAGGTAGAATATTATCTCAACGAAAACAAGCGAGGTAAGTCCAGCACCAGCAGTAGCAGCAGCAATGCTTTCTCGTTTGCGTGTGTGCGGCGTCATGACGCCGTCGAAGGGTGTAAGACAAGGGATCAACCGATCCGGTTTCAACCGATTTGGGTCTTTCTGAAACACGCTGTGTCCGAAATCGAAGCGGGTAGTCTGGGGCCCACGCGGTATAGTATGAAGTGGGTAGTGTCAGTTGCTTCATTGAACTTGTATTTAGTCGGACCCACTTCAATGGCCTAGGCCATAGCAGCTATAGTGGCTTAGTAAGTCAGAGGTCAGAAGTTAGTCGGTTTGCTTCACAGTTTTGTGCATCATGTTTGAGAGACAATCTGAGGATTGGTAACATGTCGTTCGGGTGGAAAGAAGGCGGCACGCCTGTATTTGAGAAGCTTGTTGCTGAAGGGTCACAGGAACGGGGCGGGGATTGTATGATTATTCTGTTTGGGCTATCATCGACTGTTCCCTTGATACATGTTTGATGAGATACTTCTACTTTGGCTGCAGGCCTTTGATGCCTTGCTTTTTTTAAGGGTTTGGCCAAATGGCCAACACAAGGTCTTCGTTCTGTTGATGGTCTGAGATTGTGAAGAGAAACCCGTTCTATTTGGCCTATAAAACAATAAGGACCTAGGGACTGCAGGATTCAGTGTGTTTGTTGTCCATTTATATACGAATTATTTGGAGATACCCCGCATTGAAACCATAATTGCCAATTGCTATCATATTGCTATCCATGCCTCTTTTGACGAGAAGGCTGGTAAATCAAACCAACAGACCAAAGTTTTAAAACAAAATGCCTTTCGGATAGACCAATCTCCTTGACGACCATCATTTTGATGTCTCGAGAGTAAGAAACGAGCGAGACATCTTGAGACGCTGATTTCAAAGGCAAACGGAAGGGTAGTGCACAGAAAGGGTTTTGCTAAAACCTATTCTACTAACGTCGTGGAAGGCGCGTGACCTTCGTAGAACCCAAGGCTGTTCGTGGACAGTTCGTGGAATGGTGGGCCAGTAGGAGAACTGACTGCAACGAAATCCCAGAAACCTTCGCAGAACTTCGTGGAAGGTATTTTTGATGCACTAATTTTGTATAAGCGATTTTTGCTGACCCCCTTTCTCCACACACCCTCCGTTTAGCCTTCATGATTGTTTCATCGTGGAAGTCGACCTGGTTGAGTTGAGGACGATCTAGCCCGCGAAGCCTAAGGAGGATGACCCTCTTCATAGGAGAGCACATACCCTCTTACTCTGCACATCTTTGCAATAAGTACCTGACCTAACAGAACGGACCTAACAGGGTACTTGACCCTTCGAATAGGTACCTGACCTAACAGGAGGGGGTTCTTGGCATCGCACTCCCCCACCTTTCCGGAGTCCGCACCAGGAATGTGAGCGTTTCAGTGCCTCAGGGCAAGTTGGTTGCTGTGGTGGGGCCTCATGGGTCTGGAAAGAAGAGCCATGGCCGAAAGGGAAAAACAAGGGAAGAGCGATATGGGTCCAATCAGGTCTAATGAGTCTTATATGATCCTATATGTATTCTTATCATGTTTTCTTGCTTCCAGGGTGGGATTGGTGTGGAAGATCTACCAGAAACGAGTTGGGAGGGTGAAGGGACCCAAGGCCCATGTCCTTAACTATATAACTAATCCATGCGATTTGGGAGATATCCCTAGTGGGTGGATGGGACCCACCTGCCGAGCCTGGGACATCACCTAGCACTGGTATGAGGTCCAAGGTCCAAGGTCGCCACTCTGAGGACCTTGCTCTCGCTGATGGGCCATATGATTTTCCCACTGGATGGCTCCATCTTCATCCCCTCGCACTTGCGCATTTTACATGTGACTCAGGCCCGTTTCACGCGAAGTCGGACGGAAGGTTCATATAGGTGGACGTGACCGACCAAGTGACTGGAAGTTCAGGTGGTGGAATCAACAGATGAATCGAGGTGATGAACCGCTCCACGGTTCGGAGGCAAGGAAACAACCGGAATGCTTTTGTGCTTTCGGAGGATGGTTTTCATGCAAAGGAATTTGAAGATCCGCCCCTTGTGTGGAATCTGTGTTAGTTGGTGTTGTTGTTGTTGCTGTTGCTGCTTGTGTTGTTTTTTTTGTTGTTTGTTGTTGCTTTCCCATGTCCAAATCCTGATCCGATCGCACACCTGCGGCCGTTCACGTGCGCCTCGCTCCAGGAAGCCTATCTTCTGAACCTTTCGCCTTGGAAGAACCTCATTTTTTGGATGTGCCAATCCTTTGTCTGTAGATCCAGCGCGGGTGCGCAAGATCCTACAGTTGTTGCAGCTGGCCACAGTGGGAAGACTGACCAGGGCCGTGGTGGAGAGAATCGTTAGTGGATCAGGTGTTTCAATCGATGCGAATCGGATGTTGCAGTGTGTGTTCCCCAGTCCGTGGTGTAGCAGAAGTGGTGGTTTATTTCCAATATCCTACACTGAACAGATGGGGATCAACCGGGAAGGTATTTTCACATGCACGCAGCTTGTGCATTGATGCAGGAGATGCAATGAATCAGCTTAGGGATGCTGGGTCTTAAGACTGGGTCGAAGGAAGTTGAATTCAAGAACTTCTTTGCAGCCATAAGACCTTGTTTGGCTACAAAAGAACACGGTCAACATTCGAGGTTGCATGATTCAACCCTTGGGGTCTTACGTACGTCTTACGTACCTCTTGGAGCCTTGGAATTCGGGTGCCTGGCAGCTTCTTTCTCTCTCGTCAGAGCCCTCGTTGGGAGTGAAGAAGTGCCGTCGGAGATGCCATGAAAGACACACGAAGGACTCACATGTGAGAAACCAATGACTCAATCCTGTGAGAAGAGAATCCGGATGATTTCGTCGACGTAATAGTGTTTGGATTGTTGGCTTTGATGGTTTCCACCTTGCATGGATTCGAGTCTATGACCATAATTACCGAACATTGACCCCTGAAACCGCCCCAATGTAGGCAAATAGGGCATACATGGAGTGTCTTGGTGTCTTTGTGTCTTAATGTATATGTTTTCCTCATGTTTCCTCACTTCGGGCACGGCAGGTCTCGCCCTGTTCATCGTTGGGCACCGGACAGAAAAGAACGATGAATCATAACGCATCCTCAAATTCATCCTCATTGGCTCAGGCAAATGAAGACCACTCTTCAGCTCATCACGGCCGATTTGGAGAAGCAAGCCCTCCTCCGTGAAACCACCGGTGCCTCCAAACCCGTGCCGGACGGAGAGTCAGAGGAGGAGAGTCAGAGTGCGTTGTATGAAAACGTCAAACACTCGGGTCGGTGGGGCCGAATGGGGGGCCCGACTGTCGGTGAGGGGGATCGAATCCAAAGACTTCAGTTTTAAGGCATATAGATATAGTACTCGTATATATACTCCTGCTCGTACTATCATATATATATAACTGATCATAATCAGACACTCCATGCGGTCCATGCATGGTGTATTTAGATACATGTTGGGTCGATTGATTGAAAAGGGGTCAATGTAGGTATATAAGTATGCAAGTCCCATGGGGTGTTTGGGTATACGTATGTTTCTGTCCCATTACCTGCAACAGTTGGTAAACAATAACTTGATTTTCCACAAAGAGCTGCAACCAGGCCCCATCATCATCCACTAGGTCCCGGTAATGAAATATACCCAAGGAATATTATATATATATGTATGCCTGGGGCTATGAGGGCCCAAGCCCAAATCATCCGTATCATAGTGATCCCTGGCAAATGTGGCAGTCCCAGAGGTCGTGTTTGCATGATCATTTCTGGGAGGTACGGACATCTGCGTGCAAGCATCGCAGTGTGTTTTGGGTTGGAAGAATCATCGGTTTTGGACTGACTGCATCGGGTTTTGGGCAATCAAGTGTGCCGCCAGGAGGAATCCGAGCAAGAAGAAGAGAAAGATTGGGACCAGGTGCGTCGGTGCGTCCGAACGGAGTGACGTGGCTCGGTCTAGCCATGCTGGGTTACGAGATCAGGGCCGTTCGCCTCCCTTGTTTTTTTCCTTAATGACACTGCATTGGACGTTCTTTTTTGGATGGAGTTGATGGTGTACTTGTGGTCTCTTGTGGTAAAACTTTTCATATCGCATGATATGCATGGCTGCATGGTTCTCATGCAGTCTAGCAGCCCATGTTCTCATCAGATCATGACTCATCCACGATCAGATCCCAGAGAACACCTATTAGATCCTATTGGCTTGTATCTTCACTAGGGATCCAAGTAAGTACCTTCTCAGAAGGTACGACTGGACCCTCCAAACGATACATATATAACAGTGTATCCAATCACCTGAGAAGGTAATCACTTGGATCCCGTGAAGATTCTGATCTTCGACATGCCTTTGGTCGTTTGTTGGATTTTGCCACGCAGGAGAATGGAGGGAATTGGCATGATGAATTGACGTATTCAGAGAAGGTGAAAATACATTTAGCCCGCGCCTTGATCATGAATCCAGAAGTCATGGTGCTTCAGCGGCCTTTGTATCTTGGCATTGCTTAGCAAGACTTGGATAGACTTGGGGCATACCTCCAAGTTTGCAGTTTGAAGAAGTCCCAATGGAAGAAGCGCAGAATTCGCAGAATGGCACTTTTCGTTGTTGGAAGGACATTGTCGATGTCTAAGCAAAACAGGATCTCAGCCCAGCAACGTTCATTCTCGTAATTAACAGCCTGAATCGACTGGCAAAAACCAGGCCTAGGGTGTCTTTGGACGAGGAATCATCATGAATCATCCAACTGAATTTGATCGCCTTCCAACTTCTCCAATCTTGGAATCCAGGCCGTGGTATGTTAGCCACACCGACTTGAACTCGATCCCTGTTTACAGTGGTTTCAAAGTAGATGGTTTCAGGTGACGAAGATCGCGGCTATATACCCTCCTAGAGGTTAGCATGGAGCCCCCCCCAAACCACCATGCTGGTCTGGAGAAAATGGTCATGCACGCCGCCCCTTGGTCAATTCTCCGGGTCCAGGTCCCAGACACGACTCCTATATTTAGATACCTTGGGGTGGTTGAAATTCAGGGGGTCAATCTATAGGTAAATATGCCAGTTTCATGGAGTAGCAAGTGTTTGGGTGTTGGTTTGCGGAAGGGTAAGTTTGAGTCTCCAGCACCAAACGCGAAGCGTTTTCGCCGTCGCACGCGCCGTCGGCATCCGTCGGCACCGTCCGACGTCCTCCCGGGGTCGAGGCACCACTACGACACGGCCATGGCTGAAACCGTCCTGAAGGCACGTCATTCTTCAACGAACGGGGGTTCTTCTTAGGAGCCACTAGTGGCCATTCTCAGGCCGAGCGGAGCGCGGTGCCATAAAGGCCTTAAAGCAAGCCTCTTCCGCGTTGCAGTTGACATCATTTGACGGTAACGCATCATATAACAAGAATGTAACAATGCAATGACCGCAGTTTGATTTCTACCTTTCCTCGATCCTTGACGTGGGTGTTGTCTCAAGATTCTGAGACTTCTCCCGATGAACTCATTGAATGAAGTGGCTGAGGGCGGTAACAGTCCCCGACCATTTGATCCACAAAACAGAAAACAGTTCAGTGCATGGACTACATAGATTCATTATGATTCATTCACATAGACATTCACAAACCCACTAATTACTTTGCTGGCCCTTCCACACTGATCCAGTGGGCACCTTGCGTGGAAATCATGTTCAAAACAATCCACTTCATCTTCAGCCCCTGCCAGAGGTTCTAAAAGCCCACGTGGAGGAGCGGGGCTTGGCCCTCCCAGAGAAGGGCCGCCGCCATCGCCGCCCCAGAAGCTGTCGCTGGGCCGTGAAGGGCCCACCATCGGGTCGAGCGTGGATGACGTTGCTGCATGTGACTGCCTTCAATAAATATCAATGGATTAACTACAAACAAACAAAGACAACGATCAAGCACACGTGTTCAAACATGTTGCTCGAAAGGTGAAGCTGCTTGTTCTTTGATTCAAAGAATGGGTGGTTATGACTATAGGAAAGAAACAAACAACCTGATTTTCTCTTGAGCCAAGTTTTGACGAATCGTACTTTTGCTGAAGTATACAGAACTCCCGCCAACCTTGGTCTTGTTTTGGTCTTCAACCTACCAACTGACAGGCGTACGATGGCCAAAACTCGTAGAGGGTACATCGTAGGGTATCCTACTATAGGCCCTATGGATAGGCGTATGGATAGGCCCATACCTGGAGCTTCCAACTATGCCAAATTAATGTTTCTTGGGCTGTTCTTTATGGATGTAAAGGCAGAATTTGGTTACAGTTGGAGTATCCAAGAACGTAGGCTAATAAGCCCCGCGGAGTTTTCGATAGGTGTTGTGGACATTCTCCAAGGCTTTTTCACGGTGGAACGCCCTGATGAAGCCATGGCAGCTGATGTCGTTTGGAGGATCAAGGCTCGCGACAGGGGAAGTCCTTGGGAGTTGCGGCCGGGTGCCTTGGGGCCCTTGGGATGGATTGGGCCCGCAGTGTAGCATTCATCCGGGGCTGGCGATTGGTAGAAAACGCGCCAGCAGCGCCTGGCCAGGACACGACAACTTCCACACCGGGCTTTCCAGACGGAAGCCCAGGTCAGGTGAAGTGGGTTGTTTCAGGGTAACAGCCTCATCTCAAATGACTCAAATAATGACTGGTGTTTGGCACCCAAAATGGTCACTGGATGCACCGAAATGAGCAACCAGACACCCAGACGACCGTGGCCCGCGTCCGTTTCTGTCCCAAAGAGACATAGACTATCACGCAGACACTCCATGGGACTGGCATATGTACTGCTACATGCATTTGGGGCGGTTCTTTCAGGCGTCTATGTCGGTAAAGTATGCCAGTCCCATATGGAGTGACTGGACTATCATCGACCAATGCAGCTGTAGCTCCGCTGGAGCCTTCACTCCGAACGCGACCGTCTCCCGCTCTGGTAGATACTGCGGTTGGCACCACGCCGTGGGTTCCGCCGTGCGCCGCACGGTCTGAACGGATGAATCGGCCACCAGGATGGCCTGGTGCACGACGATGAATCGACCACCGGCACATCGATGCTGCAGAAGGCCTTCATGCACAGCATGACCGAAGTCAGCAGTCCCAAAAGCGGTCCCTTCTTCAACGGGGGCGCGTAGAGAAATGGATTGGTCGGGATTTAACTCTGAAGGTGAAGAAAAAGCATCAGTAAGCATCCTGCACTAGACGAGAAAATCGAATCATATATTACCTACACCCTGCGGTGTGTTCCATTCACCGGTTCTTCTACAGGTTGGTAGCTCGTTTTGGGGGGGCTCAGATCCTCGGACTTCGCAAGAGCTCGAAGATGAGGACTCGAGCATGTAAAAGACCCTTCGACTCAGTCGATCATGTGTTTTTGTGCTTCTTGGCGCCCCAGCATCTCCACGACACCTGTGGACTTTGTGGATTTTTGGGCGCTTTTTTTTTCTAGCGTCAATGCACTGTACCGCAGCGAGCTTGGAGAATGGAGTGAGCTGCCTTCGTAAGGAAAACGCACTGAGACTTGACATGAACAAGATGCGGCTAGTGAAGATCATTGAAGAGGGCTTTGGAAAGATTGGGTTCTGTTAGAATGGACGATCATAGTCATAGCTTAGCTGTTTCTTGGCTTGGAAGGTGTTACACCATCAAATCCCCAGCTTTCCAAGCCCATGAAAATCGATTAAACAACGAAGCTGATTTTGCAGTGTCAAAACCTTAGTAAAACAATTAGGCTCATCTAGCTTGAACCGGGTGTCTTCCAAATAGCAAGTGGGTGTTTGATTTGGAATAAAACCTTGTTGTCAAGTTTCTTGCTGGCTCCGTTAAAAGCATGTAACACAGCCATGTAGTTTATTTGGTCCTGCTTGGGAGCAAAGAGCTCTAAGAATGAGGCAACATCCACATGCGCCTGATACACGCAAGACTGACCTATATATACAGCCATGGAACTTCAAGAATTTAGATTACTTCGTAGTGGGCAGCCACGCCAGCGTGGAGATATGATGATGATGGAGACGTTACGTGTGAAGAGTCTGCAGAGACCATCTCCTTCCTCACAACCACGAACATAATCCGCCGCTTCTGGCGCCACAGCCAAGCACCACTATTTCAAAAGTTTTGCGCCACATTTTGATAGAGCTTTCGCTTCAAGATTTTTAAAAGCACTTGGATGGAGAACGTGGACCTGTTGGAGCTGCAAAAAGAAAGGCTTGACTTTGACCGGGACGTTGCAACTTCAATAGGTCCAACTCGTACTTCACACTATTTGCCAGATCTTTCTCGACCCTCTGCGGAGTCATGTGTTGATGTAGGTCTGTGCGGCCCCGAGGATTGCCTGAGCCAGCTGGAAGCACCAACCACTGCGCTTATATGCTGATTGCTCAATATGCCCAGCTTGGACGTGAAACTTACTCGGTTTGACATTTACCTTGTATTGGTGCACAGGAGCGGAGGCTCAACGATCTTGGATTGGAAGATTATAATTGGAGCAGTCGGATGCAATGTGCGCCCGAAGCTTCAGTGCCTTGCGCCCGGCCAAGCTCGATCAATGGGGCCTTGCAGGAATGAATGAGTTGGAGACGGAAAACCCGTCACAATTTTGCCAGCCAAATTGATTTGGCCGGGAAAACCCGTCACGTTTCAGACCGGGGCCCCAGCCCCAAAATGTGATGGGTTTTTGAAAAACCCGTCGCAATTAAATAAGGAAAGCGAAAACCCGTCAAACTTTCCAGCTCATCCCCAACTTCAAAAAGTGATTGATTTTTCCCAAACCTATGGAATTGTGATTGGTTTTTTAAAAACCCATCGCTTTTCTGGGGCCAGCCGAGCTTCCAGATTGTGATGGGTTTTCTGAGCAAAACCACTCAGCCAAATGGATTTGGCCACCAAAAATGTGATGGGTTTTTTAAAAAACCCGTCGCAGTTTGACCAGCCAAATCCATTTGGCCGGGAAAACCCATCACAATTTGATCAGCCAAATCCACTTGGCCAGGAAAACCGTCAAAATATAGCCAGCCAAATCTCTTTGGCCAGGAAAGCCTCGAACACTTGGTATACCTAGGGTCCAACCGCTGTGCACTTGGAGTAATGAGGTGTTGCAAAACCTGTTTGGCATAGGGGACTTGTCACGATTTTCGTGTAAAATTGTGTTGGTTCAGTAAGGACACCTCAGTTTCCAACAAAGACCAAAGCAGAAGGGCCGGGGCTTTGAGCTGGGTGCGCTTAAGCTTGGTAGGCTATTTGACTGCCAGCTAGCTGGCAGCCGGTGTGCCCGTTTACTGGCAGCCACAACCTGTTTGAGTTTGTGGCGTGTGCTTCTTGAAGCTTTAAGCTTCTGGAGGGCTTTAGGACGAGGTGAGAGTTGTTCGAGTAAAACGGTCGTGTCCGTTGAAGGTTGCCTTGAAGCTTCGTGATTCTTAGAGCCGCGGCTTGTTGAGGCGATGTGGTAGCGGGGGGACAATATCGCGTCACATGGACGATCAAAGTGAAACATAGCATAAGCGAAGATTCAACCTTTTGACCTGCTGGCTTGGTTGCAGTGTGCGCATGGAGCCTGGTAATTGAACTTGGTGCTATTTGCTATCACGTGATGCGTGCAAGTGCTGATTGTTTGCAAATTGCAGCAAATTCTCCGAGTCCGTGGAAAAAGCTGCCAGCTTGTGCCTTGGAGTTTACCGGACGGGTAGAAATTTGGACACCCACTCGCTATTTGGAGGACACCCGGTTCGGCTAGATGAGCCTAATTGTTATTCAGTTAAAGGAAGTTTGTTTGTTTAGAACCAAAATAAACACAATGGGCAATGCGGTGACAAAGTTCACCATGGCTCATCTCAGCTCCAAGGCGACTCGAGACAAATCGGAGCCTAGATCAGCAGCACTTTGCACCACTTTTGGGTGATTTTGGTGTCATCCTTTGGATGGTTTGGAGCCTCTCGACGAGGGACTTGATGTCTTTCATATTCGAGCGGTTTTGCCGGGTGCAGTTCAACGTCAACACCATGTTAACACCTCCTCATTGACCTCAGTGGGCCATTGAACAAAGTCGAGGAGGATGCTCCCGCTTGGGAGAAGCATGGTGTCCATGAATGTCCATATCTAACGTGACCAGCGCGAAACTGGGGACGGCACAACATATTTGACGCCTGATTTGATCTCAAGCAGGAAGGCAGCTTTGATTAGGCCAGGAATGCGCTTGGCGCCAGTCCACAAAGTCCGGCGAGAGAAATGATGACGGATTCGAAACGACGGATGCCCAGAGAGTCCGGCGGACATGTTTCGCATGGAGGTAGATAGAAAAAAACACCGACATCGAAACCATATCTAGACATTGGCAGCCTCCATGTCGCAGCCTCAACAGCTAGGAGCTGATGCACCGACCTAAATTGGGATGTCATTGGGAAGTCATCATAAGTCATCTCCGAAGAATCACTGCATCTGAGTGGTCCCCCCAAACAGGGAAGCTCTTCGACACCGGTGGCGCCGCTTCCGGGCGCCGCCGCAAAAACGCTCTTCGCCATGCGGAGCGGCGCTGGGACGCTGAGCGCGAAGGTGGAGTCCAAGGCCGTTGGGACGCTGAGCCCAAGACCAACCCCATGGTTCAACCATGGGGAAAGCATGTGTTTATATGTTTGTTATATATGTTATAATATGTTTGTTTCTTAAAAACCTACAACACAAAAACATATTATCATTTTTCTGGGCAGTTTTTGCTTAATCTCCAAACTTCAAGAAGGCCTCAACTAGGATTTGTGTCATTTGACTTTCTTCAAGTGCCATTTGACCCTGACAACGGTCATGGATTGAAGACTATAGAGTGAAGCCTGTGAGCTTAGATTGCACAGTTCCAGGAGACGTTGTAGTGAGGGTAGATGGAACCATTTTGAGAAATGACTAGTAGGTGAGTGCATATTAAACTGGACTGACTGACTGACCCTGACCAACTGATCCGTCACGATGTAGAGTGTATGATGGCACGGTCACCAAAATATGGATCTGTGCATCTACTCCGGTCACTTTGTCGTCACTTAGATGAGGAAAAGGATGAATATGCAAGCTGTCGAAAGGGGTCGGAAGCATCATGAGGTGCTGCTCGCTGTGAGGACGTCCTGGTCATAGAGAAAAGATGTGGTAGGAATGGCCTCCACCCTAGCAGCGATGGCCTCCACCGAGCATAGCATGCTTGCGACCCTTTGATCCCCTGGTTGTTCGGGCCACTCCGGCCACCTGCGTGGTTGACAAAGGGTCACCTCCCAGAAAATAGGTGCCGTGTGTTGTCCCACAAAACAATATACAACAATACGTAAATAACTATTGTATCAACAGATTCCTAGATGCTTCAACACATATCTAGGAGGGCTTGTCCTATTACCTGTAACAGTCAGTAAACAATTATGACATATGATATGCCTACTTTTGAACAAAGGCCTCTAACCATCATCATCCACTGGGCCCTCGTAGTAGGATAGACCCAACTTCTTCATCTCTCATCCGCTATAGAAAAAGGCACTTCCGTCACCGTGCTCTACAGGTCGATAGCAAGCCATCGCCCATGTCAGAGCTTTTACTGTCCGAAGTGGAATGTGGGGAGCAGATGGGGATCGGGTGAGGGGACGAAGGGGGCGCAGATTCGATGGTCGGAAGGCATGTCTTGGCCCCTCTTCTCCTTGTGCAGACTCTTTTCCTGTTAGTAACTGTTAGTAGCACTATAGTGCAACTAACAGCTTAAATCAGCATACCCGTAATCAACAGAAGAATTAGACTAGAACCAATTGAGATTGATGCAACAGAGAATGAACTGTGCAAAGTTAACTGACCATGGCTGGTGTTGATACGTCATCTCCATGCGTCAAGACGCGATGTGGGACTTGCTGGTCTTTAGACCTCTAGAATCACGCGAGGATGTCCTGGCGGTTGGAACCCCCAACATGTGTTTTTGACGTTTCTGTTTCGGTGACTTTCGGTGACGGCCGTCGAACGGCCGTGCCCCGTGTCGGCCGTGTCACGTCGACGGTTGCGAGCAAGCGAGGCGCCGTCCAGCAGCACTGCGCCCGCTTCATGGAGCCCCACCTGGAGGCATGCGCCGTGTTGAGCCGGTGTTCAGCCGGCAGATTGGAGGATAAGACTGACTCCCGAAAGCTATCATGGACCCTGAATTTGCAGGGGAGTAAATCGGGGACACCTGGGGAAGTCCATGGAACGCCTTATGAGCCCGGTATGGGTGAAAACTGGGAGCCCGGTCGCAGTCCACCATGTGGCGAATGACCGACACCAGGTAGGAGACAAGCAGACAGTGATAATATGCATGGAATATGATATGATATGCATGCTGCATGGATATATGCAGTTCCTTCAGGTGTAGCGAGACAATGAGATATATACATGGAATTGTAATGACCGTTTTGGCTGAACTCGCCCAAGAGACGGGTTTCATGTGCTCAGGTGAGGCTCGTGTGGAATCCCCAAGAGTGGGTGGCCTCCCATGCGGTGGAACTCCCAAGCGCGACACGAATCGTGGAAGGGATGCATCCTGTAAAGTAGGATCTCGGCTCCAAAACGATCCAAAACGTG